CTGTGATGTAGTTCAGCTGGGCAAGGCAGCTCTGCTACTTTTCCCAGTTTCTCTTGTGAGAGATATAAAAGACAGCATGCCATCAGGTTAGCAAGCTTGTGAAAATAAGGAGGAGGCAAGTAAAATGGAATGGAAAAGAATATTATTTTTATATAATAGGAAATATTGTAGATAATATCATATTATCTTTGCATCTAAGATTAGGGTTAGGGTTAGATTTACTTGGAGACATGGCCAAAAACTTATGCTATAGATAGATTCTTAGGGATTTTCTAAGGAAAGAGATGTTGACAGCTTTTCGTTCGGAGTTGATTGTGGACAACAGTAAAATAAATTGGAAAATCTCATTGCCAATGAAAATGAATCAAGGGATAGGTTTAGCATTAGGGTTAGGTTTACTTAGAGACAAGACCAAAAATTAATGCTAGGAATAGATTCTTAGAGACTTATTAAAGTAACATTGACATCTTTTCGTTCAGAGTTGTTTGTTGACATCAGTAAAATACATGGGAAAATCCCATTGGCAATGAAAATGAATCTAGGTTTATGGTTAGGGTTAAGATTAGGATTAGATCTGCTTTAAGTTATAGCCAAAAATTAATGCTAGGGATAGATTATTAGTAGTTTTCTAAGGAATGTGACATTGATAGCTTTTCATTCAGAGTTGTTTGCTGATCACAGTAAAATACATGGGAAAATGCCATTGCCAATGAAAATGAATCTAGAGTTAGGTCTAATTGGAGTTATGCCCAAAAACTAATGTTAGGGATAGATTCTTAGCAGTTTTCTATGGAAAGAGATGTTGACAGCTTTTCATTCGGAATTGTTTGTGGACCACAGTAAAATACATGGAAACTCCCATTGCCAATGATAATGAATCTAGGGTTAGGGTTAGGGTTAGGTGTACTTGGAGTCATGCCCAAAAGCTAATGCTAGAGGGAGATTCTTAGTGATTTGTAAGAAAAGAGAAGTTGACAGCTTTTCTTTTGGAGTTGATTGTGGACCACATTAAAATACATTGGAAAGTCTCATTGCCAATGAAAATTATTCTAGTGTTAGGGTTAGGTCTACATGAATTCATGGCCAACAAAGTGATAGTTATAAATTATGGACAGGAGTAAGTAATAGGAAAGATGAGAAGGATAACAGTAATACAGTCCCGCTACATGGTTAGACATCCTTAGACATCAACAGTGCTATAGGAACTATGTGTTTAGCAGAGTGGTAGCATGGGGGGGTGTCTTTGTGTCTGGTTGTTTTGGCATGCAATGCCCTATAGCTGTGTCCTGAGGGGAGTAGTTGAAACAGTTTATGTCTAGGATATGATGGTCTGTAGATATTTTCTCAGCCCTCTTTCTGCCTCGTGCAGTATACAGGTCCTCAATGGAAGGGAGGCTGGTTGCAATTGTTTTTTCTGCAGTCCTAACTATCTGTTGAAGTCTGTGCCTGTCCTGTTTAGTTACTGTACAAAATCAGACCATCATAGAAGTACAAATGACAGACTAATAATTCTCTGTAGAACTGTATCAGCAGCTCCTTGGGCAGTATGAGCTTTCTGAGATGGTGCAGGAAGAACATTTTTTATTGTGCTTTTTTAATTATGATTCTAATGTCAGGTGTTCATTTCAAATCCTGGGAGAAACTTGAAGGACTTTACTGTGGATACTGTGCTACCTAATATTGTAAAAAGTGATAGAATAAGAGAGCCCCCCCCCCTAAAATCTACTATCATCTCTACAGTTTTATGTGTATTCAGTTCTAGATTGTTCCAGCTGCACCACAGGGCCAGTTGTTCAACCTCCCATCTGAATGCAGATTCATCACCATCTCAAATGAGACCAATGGCTGTTGTAACATCTGCAAACTTCAGTACTTTAGTTAGATGACAAGGAATAGATGATGGAACATGAAGCTGCATTCCTTGCATAACAGCATTTCTGTCTACTAAAAGCATGGCAACTGTCAGACGTGATAAGCAGCCCCCATTAACTTCTCCCACTTTGGCTATGACTATTATACAGCAGAAGTTATTTGACATTATGCATCATACTAATAGTTTTACACTAAGATAGTTTTGTATTTGTGCACTCCCAGAGTTTTTTAGCTGAGTTGTATTAACAGAAGCTTTTTGTGGAAAGATCCCTGCCATAAACTAAAGGACGCTTCCAGAAAGTCTTTTTGACTTTTATCTCCATGAAACGATGAAAACTGATCATCAAGTGTTCTAACTATTGTGCCTTGTAACTATGACATATGGTTTGATTCTTTGCTTCTATTAAGTTTTAATCATCATCCGATTGCTCCTTACAGCAGCAATGAAATTTGCAGTCTACATGGGTACTCTCAAATAAGTGCCTAACACAAAGGAAAGATTGCCATAGCTTTTAGTCACATTATTTCACAATGCTGAAAAAATGGGTCATAGCATTCAGCCCATTTGGCCTGTGGGAAATGAACAACTTTGTAACATGTAGAATCTACACAGTAACTGTAAAGAATAGCTTACCCCTCATTTGCCAGGTGATAATGTCTTTGGACTTCAGAGTTGCCTACTGCTTCATAGCTGTCTGAGAAAACAATCACTGGTTCCTTTGTTATACAATAGAGTCGATCTGCTTCCAATACCATGTTCTCCCTTCCATTTTGGCAACAGCTCTACATTTGTGCCAGCAGAAGAAGTTCATGTCATCTGGGCATTTTCAACCAAATGAATGAAGCTGTGCTTTTTGAAGCACTTTACTTCTCATTCTGTATTATAAGCAATGGACAGATTGCTTTCGCAATGCACTTTGTTTTTCCCTGAAGACGTTTCGCTTCTCATCCAAGAAGCTTCTTCATATAAAAACACCTTTGGACCAACCAATGACCTGGATGACTGAGAATCTCCATAGACATGGGATTTCATCATTAACACTGCTAGCTTGAGGGCCAATTATTTGTTTATGTTTGGATTATTATTAAGAATGCACTGTCCTTGTCTCTTTTTTTTTTTTACGCAGATGTTCATATTTCTCCCTTACTGTTAGAGGCTAAAACAACTGATAATTGAGAAATATAAATCCTGAAATTATTCTTTGCCTTCTCTTTTTAGATACAATGCACCATTTAAAAAAGATATTCAAAACTGGGTATTCAAACTCAGCACCTCCAGTGATATAATTGAAGAATGGTTGATTGTACAAAACCTCTGGGTTTACCTTGAAGCTGTTTTTGTAGGTGGGGATATCGCCAAGCAGTTACCCCAGGTAAATCAGTAGGTAAATCAACTACTGCTGTACTGTGCAAATATTTAAGCTTAAATGTATCTAGCTGGAATGACCTCTGATTCTTATTCAAGTGAATATGAATTTATTCTATTTAGGAAGCAAAACGTTTTCAAAACATTGATAAATCATGGATAAAAATAATGCAGCGAGCACATGAAAATCCCAATGTAGTTAGCTGTTGTGTTGGAGATGAAACCATGGGACAACTTTTACCACATTTACATGAACAATTGGAAGTATGCCAGAAATCACTTACAGGGTAAAAAATTTATTAATATTTTTTTCAATGCTGCAAAAAAGCTGGCTTAAGATATAATAATAATAATAATAATAATAATAATAATAATAATAATAATAATAATAACAACAACAACAACAACAACAACAACAACAACAATAATAAAAATTATTGCCATAATTTAACAGTGCATTTTTATTTTATTAATCTGCCTCTTATTCTAGTGGCATTTTAAATTATTTTTTGGAGGACAATTTTAAGAATATTGTTATTTAAAGAGAGAATATTAACATTTTAGATTAATATGTAGCATGGTATAGCTAATTGTAAATTTATGTCTAGACTTGCGCATGTAATTTTGGTTATATTCTCTAGCCTTGAATATTTCTTTTCATTTTTTAAAAAATGTTCAGAAAGTAATGAAAAGAAGTTGCAAAATAAAAGAGTATCGTTATACATCTCTTTGAAGTAAAAGTTTTGCATATTTAATTCACTGGTAATATTTAAAGGGAACAAAAAAAGGATAAAACAGCCCTAGATTTTTCCCAAAATTCAGGGTTCTACTCATTTGTATTTCAGTTTTATCTTGTATTTGATTTTCTGGTGCAAACTGTGTT